TGTATTCGCTATACATATTTCCCTGCCTTTAGTTGTTAGTTAATCGTATTTATTTGAAGGTAAATCACGGTCAACACCGGGAGCTATAATAGCAATCAGAGATTAAAGGTAATTTATAGTTATTGTTTTATCACGTATTAATTTTTTGGACGAAATAAATAATTTTTTTTTAATTTAGATGACTGTTGCGTCATTGACTCATCTTATGATTAAGAAAGATCCGAGTTCTAACAAGTGTCCGTTAAAGGTTTCGTTAGTTGGCATTACTCAAGAACCAGTGAAGGAAGTTAATGACGAGAATGCTATGATTAGAATGTTGGTAAAGGATTATGTTGGTCAGAGTAGTACTTTTACTGTTATGATCGTGTTTCCGTACCATAATAACTGATTTAGGCATTTGATGAATTCTACTTGGTCAAATGAGTCAGTACTTTTCATTGTAGGGCATTTGGAAGTCATTCAAGATGACTTATATGTCTATGCCATTGAGACTTCTTATATCGATACTTACTTTACGGATAGAAGAAGAGTTTCCAGTTCAGATGATTTTTCGCCTCCGTCCCCGTCGGAATCGTATAAGTCAGTTCGGTCCAGACTTTTAACTGCTCATTAAGATGTTAGTGAAGATTCGTCTAAAGTGTTTGCAATCGATAATAGTGATAAGAGTGAAGAAACAAATCAGTCTGTTATTGATTTGTCAATCTCTGACTCTTGTTCGTCTAAGCGTATTAAGTTAGAAAATGAAGAGATTAAACCCGTTAGTTCTGACGTTACTAAAGATAGACATATGGTTGAACAAGATAATAAGTGTGTAGATGAAAATAATGTGTTGGAAAAAAATATTATCAGTGAAAACAAGGGAAGGGGACATGGTCGTAAGAAGTGTAAAGTATAATGCAAGAAAGTGAAGTGGCATGCAATATCTGTTTATCGAATAGGATTTTATTTTTATTTGTTTGTTTAAAATTTATTAAATAGGTTTTTATTTGTTTATTCGAAATTTATTATAGGTTTTTAAAGTTTATTAAATAAGTTTTGTTTTAAATACAATTGTAATGTTATATTGTTGTGGTATATTTTATTTGTTTATTCGAAATTTATTATAAGTTTTTAAAGTTTATTAAATAAGTTTTGTTTTAAATACAATTGTAATGTTACATTGTTGTGGTATATAGTATTATATAAGTAGTTGTTCAGTTATTTTTGAATATTTTTCAAAACGTTCAAATTCTTTTTTGAGATTGGAATTGATTGTTATATTGAGTTTAGATTGGTCGAAGGGTCGAAGTATCATTACATCTTGTAATCTTTGTACTCGGGATAACATTACATAAATACCAGCTCCTATTTTTCTGCCACTTAGGTCTACTATTACTTTTTTTAGTGTAGTACCTTGGCATTTGAATTCTGTGATTACAAAAGCTGCTGTAATAGGCAACTGAGTTCTTTGGAATTCGTGAGTCAAGTTTGATCCATTTTTTGTTTTACATTTGTATTTGCATTTTTGTTTGATTGGGTAAACTGGTATGTTGTTTGGTAGAAGATTGTCATATGGACCCAGTTTGTTGCTTAGAAGTTCTATTACCACTGTTATCCGTGTAAACCTTCTATAATTTACAAAGACAACAAGATAAAATAATATTAAAACTAATAATAAAACTAAGTATAACTATAAGAATTACTAATCTCTCAATAAAATAATCACAATACAAGGGTTTATGCGTAGAAGGAATTAAGTACAATCAATTATGAAAGAGGCGTATTTATCGCTCTTTGCAAAATTATGCGGTCATGTGATAAAACGATCTACTAATAAAATGCCGAAAACCAGTGATTA